CCAGGCACCTCATTGCCTGCTCATCATGACCCAGCAGGAAGATGCATTGCAATGCTGGCTGCTGCTTCTGCTTCCTGGAACCTCACCTGGTGTTTGCTCTGCTCTCCTGGTCAGATGATAACCCCATTGAAGGCAGTGGCAGCCGTTAGACACAGCAAAACACTGGTTTCCTTAAACACACACAACAAGGAGCAAAAAGCTTTTGGTTTTGATGGCAGCAGCTCCAATGTGAAGCCACAATGAGCACAGTGATAGGGTTGTAGCCACAGACTTGTGTTTTCAAGACACTAAGAGCTCATGTTCCTGTTTAAACACTTGGTGATGGTGAAGGAGAGAGCAGCTGGACATAAAGTCATTGAATATTGTTGTAGAAGGCACCAGAGAGACCTTATTGTGGCCTTTCAATACCTTAAGGTACCACAAGAAACCTGGAGAGGGTCTTTGGACAAGGTCCTGTAGGGACAGGGCAAGGGGAATGGCTTGAACCTGCCCGAGGGGAGACTGAGATGAGCTCTTAGGCAGAAGCTCTTCCCTGTGAGGGCGCTGAGGCGCTGGCACAGGGTGCCCAGAGAAGCTGTGGCTGCCCCATCCCTGGCAGTGTTCAAGGGCAGGTTGGACACAGGGGCTTGGAGCAAGCTGCTCCAGTGGAAGGGGTTGGGGTTGGAGCTGGATGAGCTTTAAGCTCCCTTCCAACCCAAACCATTCCATTATTCTATGATTTCAGAGACAAAGGATTCATGTAAGAATTAATGGTGTCCCATTCTTTTTGACTTGATGCCTCCTGCAAGTTCTCCATGTGCTTTATCTTGCAGTTGAGGGTAAATCTGAGATTTCCTATTGTGAATTTGCAGCATGGGAAATTCCAGTTAGAAACAGAGGGAGAGAGAAAACCCCACTGTAAGAGCAGCCAAACACTGACATAGGGGCCAGGGAGGGTGTGAAACCTCTGCCCCTGCTTGTCCCCAAGGCTCAGAAGGACAACAGCAGTCATCTGGGTTAAATAATAACCAGGGAATTATCAGGAAGCTTTGGGAACAAAGCAGGATTCAGCTGATTGACCCTGGGTGCCTGTGAGTTGTGTGTTGTTAAGGAATCAGCAAACACTTTGATCCTGGCTTAACTGAATCCAGCCATGGAGCTTCTCCCTCCAGCCTAGGTTATTATGTGTCTCTAGGATAGCCCTAAGGCTCAGCCATGGCTCCAGGTTTCACCACGGTCCTGGCAGAGGCTGCAGCTCTATGGGCTGAGGTAATGCACACATTGGAGTATTTTGGGGTGGTTTATGTATGCAATGTGTGTCCATCACCGAGCATCTCTCTGTGCAGGAAAGCAACAAGAGAGACATCAGGGCAGGCAATGCCATTGCTCCAGGCTGCCATGGGCTGACACACAGGAGGTCTGAAGGCTGCTGAGCAACACCACAGCTCCTGTGCTCTGTTGTGGTCAGGCTGCCATGGAGATCATGGCTTTTATTGCTGTCAACAGGGGGATGGAAAGCAAAGGTGTGGATCAGGGGGTAGTGGTTTCTCAATAGTATCTGCCCTTTGGTGGGGATTCATTACTACCACATTTTAAAAGACTTTCAAAGCACCTTCATTCATAATAGAGGTCAGAGAAGTTCCCAAGAAAGGTCTGGATTGCCATAATCTTGCATGTAGTGGATTCAACTTTGCGAATCTCCAAGAGGAACCTTGGTCTAATGTGCAGGAAATACAGAATTGTGAATTTCAGCAATACAAGAAACAGGCCTGAGGTTTTGGAAATACATTTTATACCGAGAGCACCATTGCATGATTATGCTTCAGTCTTTGCAGAGAAAGGGTCCACATAATGCAGAAAATCCCGGCTGTAGACAGAAAATTCCCATACCAGGTTTGATTGGCTGATGGCTTGGCTTCGTGAGCGAAGATTTGGGAAGGGTTTTAACCACGCTTACTACAAGCACGATGACCAAGGGCAAGTGGGCTATCCAAATCTGGTTGGATAAAAGGTTGCTTAGGCAATCAGGAAGTGTCCGACCACAGCTGTCAACTCCTGATCTAAGTCCGCCCCTATGCAGCATTGGATCTGAAGCTGCCCATGCACCCTGTCACCTACCGTTTCGACCCTTAGACAAGTGAGAGTGAGCCGTTCCAGCCTCCTCAGTGGATTTTTTAGGTGAAGCACAGCTTGCATACAACTGCCCCCCCCCCCTTTAAACCTGAGGTTTAACTGCCACGACCCGGCTAGCTAGGACGGTGACAGCAAAGTCCACAGGTCGTAGGTTTTGTAAGAGTGTCCTTCTCTTTGATGGAAGACCATACAAGGCTAGGCAAGCTCCATCAGCCCGGGTTTGAAGATAGGAGTTTTCCTTCTCCGATGATGAAGGCCTGTCTTCGCTAACGAAGATTCGGAAAGACCTTTAACCACGCATTCTGAACAAGACTGTCATCTCCTGGGTCAATCACAAGCGACCAATGATGCAATAGCACAACAAGCATCTAGGCAGGTTCTTAGAGGCGTTGTCATAAGCCTGCGGATGGTAGCCTCACGCCAGTGGCTCCTCAGACAAGCGCACGCACCAGGGGTATGAACCTGTGGTTCCTCTCGTACTGAGCAGGATTACTATTGCAACAACACATCATCAGTAGGGTAAAACTAACCTGTCTCACGACAGTCTAATCCCAGCTCATGTTCCCTATTAGTGGGTCGGCTCTTCCTATCATTGTAAAGCAGAATTCACCCATACCAGGTAGATAACAGAGGTCCTGCCATGGAAGTCTAATATCATACTTGGTAAAGGAAAATTAAATAGTGACCAGAGACAAATACTGGGAAATAAGTTCCCCTTTCTACTCTATTTCTGTCCCTGAGAAGAATAACTCCATTTTTACCCATGCAGGGACGTGGTCTGGAGGGAGGGAGACTGCCAGAGCAGTGAGCACTGCCTGAGCTGTTGGGTGCAGAAGGTGATGGGTTCTACTCTGCAGGAGCATAGGGACTGCCACGGGGGTTTGTTTCCTTAATCTCTTTAAACAGAGACAAAGGAGAACACCACGGTGTGTAGGGACCATCTCACAGTACCTGAGCAAGAGAAGTAGAACAAGGACACAGAGCTATGTCAACAGTATCCAAGACTCCAGAGCATCAGGAAAGTTGGTGATGATGAAGCAGATACAAGGCCAAGCCAAGTCAATCCCCTGGTCAGAATCCTGTCTAGCAACTGCTAAAAAGATCCTTGAGGAAGCCTAGATCACCAACAAAGGATTATAAAGATATGCACACCTCCTGCTAAACTGGAAGCGAGAACTCCTCTAACATAGCCCAATCTCCCTGGGCTGAGCTTAAACAGAGATGGGGGCAAATGGGAAGAGGGAACCCCAGCTGTGGCTGCTCAGGGGGATAACGGCCTATTAGTTCATCCTGGGACAATAGAGCACTGCCTCAAAATGCCCCTTTCTCACATCTGGCGAAGCCCAGAGGCACCAGCTCAGGTGTTGGAAATCCAGGCACTGTATGTGGATAAGCCCACTGGGGATGGAAAACTGGGCTCTCGAGTATCTACAGATGGACATTAGCAGCTCCAGAGATAGATTCACTTGTGCTTCATGTCCCACTTGGGGACCCTGTGCAAGATCTGAAATGTCTTTAAACCCATTCTCATTCATTTGTCAAGGTCAGACTAAATACTTTGCATGGTCCACAAGTATGTCAGAAATATCTTAGGAGCTGCTCATCACTGCTGCTGGGCAGCTGTGCTCAGGCATGGCTCACCCACTCCATGTCTCTCAGATGCCCAAGCACCACAATGCCTTTCAGAGGTGATTTCACACCCTTTGCTTTTCCTTCTCTTTGTTTTCCTGTGGTAAATCATGAGCAGCCCTGGAGGCTTCCTCCCAGGAGAGCACATGCAACTGTATTTACAGCCCCAGCACCACAAGCTGGGCTCTTGGAGTCTGGCAGGAGCTCCCCTCTCTTCACATCAGGTGCTTAACAGAGCTGATGCTGGCACGTAGATGTTCTCTGCTGCATTCGGGATAAATCCTTGGCTCCCATCACTCGGTGGCAGAGGGAAGGCACAGGAGGTAACACCAACACAAAGCAGAGCCTCACCTGCAGTGAGGCAGTGGGCTTGCGTCTGCATGTTCTAGTGTCCCTTTTTTGGGAGCTATGTCAGAAAACAGCCTTACCATTGTGGGTTCTTTTTATAATAATAGGGAGCAATGTCTGATGCAGGCTGTGTTTCCATAGGCAGCTAAAGCAAAATGAAGTGATTTATTCAAGAGTTAAATGAGGATGAATCTTACTCTGTTATAAAGAAATGTAACATTGCAGATCGTCAGCAGAATATAATCACTAACAAATCAGCCTTTGGAATCAGCCTGTTATAACACCAAGTACTTTTGAAAGCAAGCAACTTAATGCCCATGGGTTTAGGATGTTTCAGCATGCTGGAGCTCAGAAACTTATAAATCATGTATTTATCCATGTGAATATTGTCTGTTGTGAATGATCTCAAATATTCTGATAAATGTGATTTGGTGACTGGAATGACAACTAGAAGCCGAGGAAAATTTCTGGAGGTCATTCATGTGTAAGCTGGGATTTCACTGGGAATGTGTCTTTTCCTTGCTTCAGGTTTCCGTTCACTCCTATGAGCTTCCTCTGAGGTGTCTTCTGACACAACTTGCCTCTAATCGTAAGGTGATTGAAGATCTGATTCTTTTCTCAAATATAAAGAACCAACGTCTGTGAATAAATCCAGAGTTCTAATTGTCCCAGCATAGAAATCTGAAAAATGGCATTTGTTGCTTCAGTATGCTCTTTGTTCTTTTTGAAATATCTCAACATAAAACCATAAAGTATATATCATTTGGGTGAAAAAAATGTAGTAGAATATACTAAAATGTAGTAGTTAAAATGGTCACCAATTAGAATTAGGTATGGTCCAAATATGAATCTCCATTTTTTGAATGTTTTGATGTTTCTCTTCTTTTTGCCTCAGCAGGGAACACCTGGTCATGGGAGGAAATCACACCCAGAATAAATTCATCCTGTTGGGAATTACAGACAGCCCAAGTCTGCAGACCCCTCTTTTTGTCTTGTTTCTATTGATTTACATTGTCACTTTGGTGGGGAACGTTGGCATTATCACATTGGTGCGGGTGTCTCCCAGCCTCCACACCCCCATGTACTTCTTCCTCACCCATTTTGCCTTCACTGACATCTGCTGTTCCACAGTCATCTCCCCCAGGATGCTGGCAGACCTGTTATCAGAGGACAAAACCATTTCTTTCTCTGGCTGCATGATGCAGTTCCTCACCTTTGCTTTCTTTGCTGCTGTTGAATGTTACCTCCTGGCCATGATGGCCTACGACCGGCACGTTGCCATCTGCCATCCCCTGCTTTATGTGACCATCATCTCCAGACGCATCTGCTGGCAGCTGGTAGCATCAAGCTACCTATTTGCCTTCCTCACTGCTATCATCTGCACATGGTGCGTGTTTGGAGGTTTCTTCTGTGGTCCCAACCACATTGATCACTTCTTCTGCGACCTCATCCCAGTGCTAAAGCTCGTGTGCTCCAACACCCACAGCACTGAGATGGTCATCTTTGCCTTTGTCACCATCAACATCTTGGGCACAAGCATGACCATTGTGCTCTCCTACATCTCTATCCTCCGCACCGTGCTGAATACGTGTTCAGCACAGAGCAGGGCCAGAGCCTTCCACACCTGCGCCTCCCATTTGATGGCTGTTGCCTCCTTCTTTGGGTCAGCATTCTTCATGTACCTACAATCTCCATCTAGCTACAGGAGCCTGGATAAAGTTGCCTCTATTATCTACACTGTGATCAACCCCATGCTTAACCCCTTCATCTACAGCCTGAGGAATAAAGAGGTGAAAGGGGCTCTGGCAAAGTGCGGGAGGAGGTTGTTCTACCACTGGCAAAATAAAAGAGTTCGGTCATCAAGGACATGAATAAATCAGCCTTTGGAATCAGGCTGATAAAACATCAACTCCTTTTTAAAGCAAGCATCTTAACGCCCATGGGTTTTGAATGCTTCATCGTGCTGAAGCTCAGAAGGGTCCAAATGTCCAATTCACCAATGTAAATTGTAAATTTTTTCTGTTTGAATGATCTCAAATAGTTTGATAATTGTGATTTGGTGACTGGAGTGATAATTACAAGCCAAGGGAAATGCCCAGAGCTAATGCATGTTTAAGCTGGGATTTCACTTAGACCGGGAACTCACCTTGCTCCGAGTTGCCATGCACTCTCCATGAAGTTCCGCTGAAGTGTCTTCTGACATACCTTGCCTCCAAAGGGAAAGTGAACAAAGATCTCATTCTTTTCCCAAACCTGAAAACACATGATTGAATAAATCCATAGTTTCAGTGTCTCAGCAGAGAAAACCAAGGAAGCCATTTCTGTTGCTTCAATGCATTCCATGCTCTAAATACCACAACTTAAAAACATAAACCATATAAAATTTCTCTTAGAAAATAAAGTATGAATATACTAAAATATGGCAGTTATACAGGTTAATGATTGCAGTAATAAATGGTCCAAAAGCAAATCTCTATTTGTAATTATTTTTGAATTATTTTTACCTCAGCAGGTAACACCTGGTCGAGGGAGGAAATCACACCCAGGCTAAATTCATCTGTTGGGAGTGACAGAAATCCCATGTGCGCAGACCTCTCTTTTTGTCTTGTTTCTATTGATTTACACTGCCACTTTGGTTCGGGTGTCTCCCAGCCTCCACACCCCCATGTACTTCTTCCTCTCCCATTTTGCCTTCACTGACATCTGCTATTCCACAGTCATCTCCCCCAGGATGCCTGGACACATTCCTGTGTAACATTATCTAGGTGTTCCTGCTCCGGCAGGGGGATTGGACTAGATGAACTTTTGAGGTCCCTTCCAATCTGTAGCATACTCTGTGTGTGATGCTGGCAGACCTGTTATCAGAGGACAAAACCATTTCTTTCTCTGGCTGCATGATGCAGTTCCTCACCTTTGCCTTCTTTGCTATTATTGAGTGTCACCTCCTGGCCATGATGGCCTATGACCGACACGTTGCTGTCTGCCAGCCCCTGCTTTATGTGACCATCATCTCCAGCAGTGTCTGCTGGCAGCTGGTAGCATCAAGCTACTTATTTGCCTTCCTCAGTGCCATCATCTGCACATGGTGCGTGTTTGGAGGTTCTTTCTGTGGTCTCAACCACATTGACCACTTCTTTTGTGATGCAGTCCCAGTGCCAAAGCTCGTGTGCTCTGACACTCACAGCACTGAGATGGTCATCTTTGCCTTCATCACCATCAACGTGGTGGGCACTAGCATGATCATTTTGCTCTCCTACATCTCTATCATCCGCACCGTGCTGAGGATGTGCTCAGCACAGAGCAGGGCCAGAGCCTTCCACACCTGCGCCTCCCATTTGCTGGCTGTTGCCTTGTTATATGGGACATCATTCTTCACGTACCTACAACCTCCATCTAGCCACAGGAGCCTGGAAAAGGTGGCCTCCATCTTCTACGCCATGGTCAACCCCATGCTCAGCCCATTCATTTACAGCCTGAGGAACAGGGAGGTGAAGGGGGCTCTGCTGAGTTGCAGGAGAAGGTTCTTAAACCACTGGCCTGTGGGGCACTAAAACAATGGCATTCTCCCAATAATCTCCATGATTTGATGTAGGTTTTCCTACAGTTACTGCACAACAGTCAATGACAGTATTGCATGAGAAACAGTTGCCCCAAATCACATCATCATTCCTCTGAAGGAAACCAAGAGTAGTGGAACCTTAAACTTGAATTCACTTTGCAGTCACCAGCTTGCATGAAGAAAATACCCTCAATTACCCCAGGCCTCTTTCCCTCACAGGAAAGGCCAATCAGGTCTATTCATTTATAACTTTTCTCACTGGCAAGTATCTATTTTTCTTGCAAGATTCTTGACCTTGTCCCTCAGCACCAATAAAATTCCTCACTCTTACCTGCGAGTTCTTTATTAAAGCTGCTGGGGTGGGAGGGAAGAGGAAGTGTAGTTTTACATTTGCTTGCTGAAAAAGAGTCACAGAAAAGGTTTCAAAAGATTCATTGCGTTTGTTTGTGCCTTTCAAAGAGAAGAAGCTGTTGGGAATCAAGGTCTCAAGCTCCAGCTTTGAATATCAAGGGGAATCCCTCCCCAGGCTGCAGCTTCACAAGAGATTTCACTTTAAGGCAGAAACTGTGGACAATATCATTCATAATACAGGATGATGAATGGTGCTGAGGCTACCCAGTGTTAAGGATAATTTGGGCACATTAAGGGGTGATCCCATTCATTTTAAGGGGTGTTTTACATTCTTCTTAAGTGCCATTTACTTAAATGGTGCGATCCATGGAATTCCATCACGAGACAAGCACCTACATTCCATGCCCATGTTTAACTCTTGCTAGTGCACACCAGGAAATACCAAACAGTGTATTTCATATAGGAGTTAAGACAGTGGCTCATTTCCATAGATGAAAGACAATCCTGAACACAGAATCGATCCTAACCGAGAGCTGTCTGGGTCTCAGAGAAGCCAAAACACACCGATGGGGGAAAATATCTTTCCTTTACCTGCTGTGAGTGGGAATTAACTGATGTTGTGAGCAGAACACGGATGGTGAACAATCTCTTCTGTGTGCTCTGGCAAACAGCAGCAAGAGATGAGATGTTGTCTATTGCCTGTGGGAAAGTGGCTTCAACCTGTGCTCAGAGAAGGAGGCAGAACCAATATAATCAGAGGCTAAAGAGCTTGGCAGGACAGAGACCTTTGATATCATAGAATCATAACATCATAGGATAGTTAGGGTGGGAAAGGACCTTAAGATCATCCAGTTCCAACCCCCTGCCATGGGCAGGGACACCTCACACTAAACCATGGCACCCAAGGCCTCGTCCAACCTGGCCTTGAACACCACCAGGGATGGAGCATTCACAACCTCCCTGGGCAACCCATTCCAGTGCCTCAGCACCCTCACAGGAAAGAATTTCCTCCTTAGATCCAATCTAAACTTCCCCTGTTTCAGTTTGAACCCGTTACCCCTTGTCCTGTCACTGCAGTCCCTAATGAAGAGTCCCTCTGAGTTTCAAATGATGAAGATACTTGTATTTTGAAACATGTTTCTTACATGTATTAAGCTATCAGTGAAACTTGATTGAAAGACATTTTCCTATGGTGTTGCTATAATCTGTCATCCTTAACTGGTACTTACCTGGCAGTCACAGTGGTTCAGTCATTTTATATACTCAGATTTCATTGCTTAATTACTTCATTTCAAAATGCACTAAAGACAAAAAACTGGGGTTGTTTTTCCTGATCTGTCTTCCCTTAAATGTTTCAATCCATACTTTGCCCTAACAGGAGATTTTTAATTCAGTATTCCTGGTTTATCTCCGAACACTTTTGTTGTGACCACAGCGAAATGGGGTTCTGGTGAGGGGATGAATGTTTAAAGAAGTAATCAGAAATGGAAGTAAGAGGTGGGAAAATGCTTATAGAAGGGAAGTAAAATAAGTCAGCAGCGGGATAAAGCAGCTGCAAAGTCTTCAACCCTGCTCACTTCTTGCTGGCCTGAGTATCATTGTAGTAGTAGCACTGGTACACTGTGATGTATCACACTGTCACAATGCCACAAATAGCTCAAGGAATGAGGCAGAAATGACAAAACATTTCTAACAAAGTCGAACTGCCCTTTCATGTACCTTTAATTGACTCAAAGGAACATTAAAGCTTGCTGTCATTGTGCCAATTGGTGCACACAAAACTCAGTGAGCCTCAAGTAAAATCATGAGTGTGACCACAGAACCCAGGTTTGGTGTTTGTACACTTGGCTTGTGCTGAAGTACACGTTGTGCTTCATCCCTTTGGGTTGGGAGTGCATCTCCTCTGCCTCCATGGCTCTCTGGGTGCAGTTGCAGTGGTGATCTCCAGGCAGAGTGATCAGTGGGAGAGATCAGGGGGGTTTAAGTTCAAGCTATAAAAACCATTGCCATACGCAGGGAGATGAAGTGATTCATGTGCACATTTGAATTTGGTTACAGCACTTGGTGCTTCCAAGTAACTGCAATCCTCAGTTATGCAAAATCATGGAATCATGGAATGGTTTGGGTTGGAAGGGAGCTTAAAGCTCCTCCAGCTCCAACCCCAACCCCTTCCACTGGAGCAGCTTGCTCCAAGCCCCTGTGTCCAACCTGGCCTTGAGCACTGCCAGGGATGGGGCAGCCACAGCTTCTCTGGGCACCCTGTGCCAGCGCCTCAGCACCCTCCCAGGGAAGAGCTTCTGCCTAAGAGCTCATCTCAGTCTCCCCTCGGGCAGGTTCAAGCCATTCCCCTTGGCCTGTCCCTACAGGCCCTGATGAAGAGTCCCTCTCTTATTCTATCTGAATAAGTTGCTTCACATGTTGTGTTCTCTTTTCTTGAGGGAATTGTCCAAATGTCTCTATTTTTCATGAAAACTCCATCAGAAACTTTGATTAAAAGCTTAGAAAGTGAGCATTTCACTTCACACCAACTTAAATTAGATTTTGACTGGTTGCCATTGCATTCATTCATTATTCATCACAGTTCTTTGCAGAAGACCACGGTTTCCAAAGGTGCTTATTTTAAACCACAAATTTATTCAGTTTGTCATTGTACAAGTTCATGTTCTTCCAGCAATTGTACAGTTCATTAAACAGAAATGGTGTGTTTGGATTAAATGTTAAAACCCCTCCATCTACTGTTTCATTTAGAGCATCTTCCCCCTCAATAATGCGATGACATACAGAAGGGGATGTGACATGGTCAAATCCACAAAGCACAGACCTGGTACTGAGCATCCAGAAAGGAAAAGATGTAAGGACCACACATCCCAGGAAGATTTTAGTTGGGACACACTTCTGGCCACATGCTAACCTATGTGTGCCTGTCACAGGTCCTTAGCACTGCTCCAGCTCACTTACACG